TGCTTTAGACCACTGAGCCATCTCACCAGCCCCTATACTTCTTGTTATATAGGTCTTGCTTTATCTTGGTCTTGACTATCCAGCAGAAAAGTATAAAACTGAGGTATATAAAGTAAAGCCATATTAATATGCTGAGCTGTAAAAGGCTCAAGTCAACAACTTCTGTGGATAACACACTACTATTGTGGACTGCTAGACTGTATTGGATTATTTTGCTGAATTCATACACCTATCGTATTTAGATGCCAGTGGAATACTCATCTCTGACAGGACTATCCAAAAAAGGGAATACAAAGGAAGGACCATTTTGTATTTGTATATACAGAATAGTTAGGACAGATATACAGCTACTTTTGCTTAATTCAATGAGAAGAAAGATTTGTAGTAATATTGTTTGGACAGGATATGCTGTCTTCCTGTCTGCATCTTGTACTATGGATAACCACTAAGAAGATAACAATGCACAATGTATTAATTATTGAAACTGTCCTATTAATCAGTTTTGAAACTGTCTCATTGCTATTTGTTTCTCAATAAAATAAAATTAAAAACAATAGTGAAAGCATTCTCTTTAATTATACAGAACCTAAGAGAATCAACCCAAGTCTAGAATATAAGTACAAGTATTTAAAATAATTGTATTCACAGTTGATTAGGCACTAAAGAAGATACTTTCATTTTCTGTCTCAAAGGTGATTTTATTTTATTTTTTTCCTTAAAGATTTGGGACTTTAATGGATATTGTCACCACACACTAAATGTTGGACAAGATGAAGCTGTGGATATTTCACACATCCTTGTTCTCAAGAATACAATACTGGTTACAGGTGGGAAAAGGTATGAAATGCTTCATGTAGACTTTGTTTGAATCAAAACATAAAAGAACAGGAATGTGGACATCTGCATTGATTACATGCCATTAACCTGCTGGTGATCTCAGAGAGGGAAAAAACTGTAGTTGGAATGAAAAGTTTAATGTGTGAAAGAGAGGTCATGTGACTTAAGTGTCTGTGTGAAGTATTATAAGGCTTACTGTAGCTTTAGGAATTTGACTTTCTCTGCAAAAAATTTCAGATAAGGAAAGAATATCATTTGCTGAATGTCGTAGTCAGGGTTTATAAGGGAAACAATTTAGTAACAGGAAACATAACTTATGAGATTTCTGTAAGAGTCACTCAAAGAGTGAAACACAAAAGAGTGCAGGAAATCTGTCCACATACTAAAGACCCAAAGAATCCAGCTGAGGGTCTGGATCCCAAGGCAGTGTCCTGCATGCGTCCAGCTGAAGACCTAGAGCCCATAACACCACCACCCACAAGTGCAACCAGAGGTGAGAGCCCACAAAAATGTTTCATGTAAGCGTTTTTCTAGGATCCGTGCTGAGAAGGCCCCAAAATCAGTGGTAGAAGATAGAAAGTCTGTGCCGGTGGGCTGAGGCATCTTTACTGGAGCCAGGAAGTGATGCTCAAAGAAAGGACCAGAGCTTCCCCCAAAGTGAACTGTAGATATTCCCAGTAATAGCAAGGGCCAGAGCTTCTCTGATGATAACAGCCAAGTTGATATCAGGAAAGCCAGCCTGACAAGCTCCTCCAGGAAGACCAACAGCACCCAGGAGAACCAACAGCACCCTTCTTCCTCCCCAGCTCTCCTTTTTTGTTTGTGACAATCCTCAGGTGATTCCTGTGCATCCAGTGCTGCACTGATGCAGTTAAGCTGGGGGTCACGAATTGGCTACCAGTTGTCCATCCACCACACTCAGTTGCGAAAGCTTCCTCAGCTGTGATGGGAGCTCACTCTTCTCGCGAAGCCTATTTTCAGTTGGAATAGAGGAGGGAACTGGCCCACTGACTTCTAGTGTTAAGACCCACTTCATATCACTGCAGAGAAAGCACCTTTCACAGCCACTTACTCTTTGGTAGGTTTTTTTTTTTTATTTCATTATAAGGAAAATTACTTCTTTCCTAAGAGAACTAAAAGATTATAAACAGTCTTTCCTATGCTATCACAACTGAAGTGTGATGCATTTTGAAAATATACTTTTCCATAAATTCAATAATTCATAAAGTCTTTTTGTAACAGGTAATTTGCCCAACATTATTCATTAGAGAACTATGAGCTTAATGGCCTGAAACTAGGATTATGATTTTATACTTAGAAAACCAGCAGCATATATTTGGGGATTTTAATCAAACATAGAAATGGTTTTTCTTCTAATGTAATGAACAAACAGACTAACAAACAGTGTTGCAAACTGCTCTGTTTTCTAGGCTTGGCTTATTATAAAAAACCTGTAATATATTTCATATTAAGAATTAATTCAATCATCCCCTTCTTTGAAGGATAAAATTCCACGTTCCTGTGAGTAAGCACGATCCATTATCAACTTATAGCTACTCCAACAGCCTGTGACCTAAAAATCTCTATAACTAGACCATGGCAGTGAAGAAGCTTGATCCTCCAGAGCCACAGCAGAGTAGATAGGTGTTATCCCATTGATCTAAAAATTTAAATTTTGAACAAAACTAAAAGGAATTAATACGTATATTAATATGTATATGTCAAAATGTGAAGTTTTAGTTGTTAAAATGTCCAGTTAGAAATAAGCTGTAAATGTAAAATGTTTTTGATTGTTTATAAGGGAAAATTTGAAAGACTAGATGTATTGAGTTACCAATAATAATAATAATATTAATAATAATAATAATTATTATTATTGGCAGAACCGGGGATTGAACTCAGGCCCTTATGCTTGCCAGGGAAGGGCTTATTCCACTGAGCCATCTCCCCTGCCCTCCAAAAATTATTTAAAGAAATATTAGATCCTCTGATCTATGCTGGCTGGTGGTCATTTGTCATAATCTTGAGGAGGAAGATTTTGGATCAATTGAATGAGAATAACAAAAATTATTACTTCTTTTATTTTTCTCTTTTTTCTTTTTTTTTCATCTTTCTGAAGTTAGTCAGGAGTTAGACACTTTAGTTGGAATGGAATATGGAATAATAATATTCTCTCAATTACTTTAGTGGATGGAAAGATTATATTTTCGAGTCAAAGGTGTTATGTAGGAATGTATTTTGCAGGATAAAACAGAGGATCTTTTTTGCTAAGAAGCTTTTCACAAAAGGCGCATAATGGTGGACAACTGCTTGGTAGATTTATAGAACTATGGTCAATTAAGCCAGCTCTTTAATACTTCTGTGATTCCAAAAGAAATAACCAGAAAGTTGACAGCTTATTAAACTTTTTGTAAAGCCCATAGAGAGACTGTTAGGATAAGTTGTAGCTTTAACTTTAGGCTCTATCTAAATGCAGAGATTAGTTTGATAATTTTGGCCAGGATGGAAGAGTAATTACACTAAGAGGAAAGCACCTGAACACAGCATTTGATGTATTTTGTTTATATTGCTGGGAAACATTAGACACTTCATACATGGTATCTAATTTAATCCTTCATCTTGCAAGGTAACTGATAATTTTTTTAAAAATTGTATTTTAAAGAGAAAAAAAAAACAACAAAGACAACAACAAAGCAACAAATGAAAAAGATACAGAATATAATAAAAAGACATACAGAATTTCGAAACGAGAAAGGGAAATTAGCAATAGTTATTGTATTGCACACTTTTTTCACCAAGCTCCTACCCATTGGCTTGCTGGGTATGTCCGGCTGTAATGCCAAGTTAGCTTATTATTTGTTCCCCTCTCTAAAACACGCTTTTTGTCATAGATGTAGAGCTTTAGCTAGTGGCCAGGGATCTAGTTATCCATCTTGATTTTCATTTCTCATTCAATCTCACAATCTAGTAGCTACTACCACGTCTTACCATTTTGAGGTCCTCAATGTTTCCTAAACTTATTTGTGTGAATACTTCAACTATATTTTTCAGAGCGTTATTTCTACTGAAAGGAATATCACAACCTTCTGATTTGTCCTTTCTTCCAGTAACCCCACCTCCCACCATTTAAATAAATTTGTACCTTTCGGTACAGTGATTACCTTTTACAATGAATGCATATTGCTCCTGGTTAAAAACCTTTCTGTATCTACAAAATATATTTAAGTTCCCTCTGACTCGGGCTTATGCTTTATTATCTAGTTTCATTTTTACATGTTCTTGGGTCTATTTTAAACCTTAGCAAATGACCTGCTAGCAGTATGTCCCCTACAATGTATACTGTTTTATATCTCTATTCCTTTATTTTTTCTCCATACCTAGAAACCCTTTTCTAGTTCTTCTTCAGTATAGCTAGCATTTATTCTTATTTCAAGGCTAGTTCAGATTTCTTCTCCACTAAGATATTCATGTTAACTCCCAACGTGAATATATGTCCTCCCTCTGTGTTTGCGCTTTCTAGGTGAGGATCCTATTCCACTTAGCTGTGCATGCGTACCTACACACGTCGGCTGCCTTCTGGGTGAACAGTGATACTTTTTGAACAATTTAATTAGTATGTCTTGGATAGATAGGAAAACTAAGGATTAGAGACAGTAATTCCCTACATCCTTACAATTTGCAAGAAGCAAACAACATAGATACCGAACTCTACTATACTCTTCATAAGAAATCAGATGGGAAAATAGTATACATTTCTTACAAAAGAAAAAATTCAGGCTTGAGCAGGTTGAGTACACCAGCCAAGGTTACAAAGCACTTAGTAGAAAGCTGAGCCATAAATCTATGCCATAGTTACAAATCTATGTCTTTAAAAAAATCATTTATTTATTTATCTACTTATATGGTACAGGGTCTCACTACACAGCTTGGATTCATAGTGTTCCACCTTTCTCAGCCTCCCCAGTGCAGGGATTATAGGTGTGCACCACCACACAGTTTCTTGTCAGCAAGGTCTGCCCATTACCATGCATGTCCTACCGAAGAGCCGACCCTGGGCGGGGCCTCGTGCTTGCCAGGCAGGTGCTTAAACCACTGGCTGTCTCCCCAGCCCTGGAAATCTATGTCTTGAGTGACTTGATTGAAAATGGAATCTGTTACTGTTTGGATTAAAAATGTCCCCCATGATGTTCAAAGATGGGATTTGGGGAAGTGGTTAGAAGTAATCACAGTAATCTAATAAACTTTAGACATAAATGCACTGTTAGGAGGTAGAGCCCAGTTGCAGGGCATAGGTCGTGGGGCTTCACCTACAGCTGATATTTCTGTCCCAAAACTGCCCTGCTTTTCTCACTCCTGTGCTCTTTATTTGCTCTCCTCCACCACGTGCTTCTACCCTCCTGTTTCTGCCTGGAGGCCCATTGACCGCGGACTGACACCTCTGATACTCTGAGCCAAAACAAGGTTTTCCTCCTTTAAGTTATTTATGTCAGATATTTTGTCACAATAACAAAAACCTGAGTAACACAGAGACATAAAATCATGGAAAGAAACTCTGATGGGGCAGGGTGGTTATTTGGAGCAAGGTTAATAAGTCTGGTCTGTGCAGGTGAAGAAACACAAAGGTATTCGTTATCAACTTGACAATATCTTAGAAACATCTCAGAATATTTCTCTCCCTTCCTTACTCATAAATACATAAAAACTGCCTCTAGGTAGAAAGCACCAAGTCAGGAAACATAGTGGATTGATGTGAAAAGTCATGCTTCTAGTTGTCAAGGTCTCCTAATTTATTGGAAGAATTAACACCTGCAAGACAGGATATAGTAAGTACCAGTATAAAGCAGTCCTAAGAAAATTAAGTAGAGACCAAAAGTAGTTTATTTACAAATGTGAGCATTCATATCTAGGGAATTTATCTTTCAGGAAAAGAAGTTCAAAGTTCAAAACTACTAGAAATACATTTCTTAGTTCTTAAGTAACATACACTTACATAGTTGAAA